AGTAGAGACGGGGTTTCACCGTGTTAGCCAGGATGGTCTGGCTCTCCTGACCTCATGATCTGTCTGCCTCTGCCTTCCAAAGTGCTGGGATTACAGGCGTGGCACCACACCTGGCCAAGGATGGCTACATGTTAACACTTTAGTTGGTGGACTGGCCTGAGGCCCAAGGAGTCCCAGGGTAAGGGCGGGGAGAGGTTCTTTGGAATTCAAGGTGGCGGCTGTCTGCCAAGTAGAACAGATTTCACAACCAACAAGACCATAGAGGCGCGGTTTAGCCTACTGAAACATCTCAGCTTCAGGAGATCCTCCTGGGCTGCCCCCTCCCCCCTTTTTTTTGAGACGGAGTCTTGCTGTGTCGCTCAGGCTGGAGTGCAGTGGCGCGATCTTGGCTCACTGCAATCTGCCTCCCGGGTTCAAGTGATTCTTCTGCTTCAGCCTCCCAAGTAGCTGGGATTACAGGCGTCTGCCACCACGCCCAGCTAATTTTTGTATTTTCAGTAGAGACAGGGTTTCACTATATTGGCCAGGCTGGTCTTGAACTCCTGACTTCGTGATCCATCTGCCTTGGCCTCCCAAAGTGCTGGGATTACAGGCATGAGCCACCACGCCCAGTACACCATCCCCTTATTTAACTGCGACACCCCCACATCACTCTTCTCCACCCGATTTATCATTCACCATAGCATGTTTCACCATCAATATCAGATGACACTATAGAATGTCACCATACTCTATATTTTGCTCGTCTGTTTTATTGCCTTCTCCCCCAACTCGAATGAGAACTCCATAAAAGCAGGATTCTGTCTTATTTATTTATTTATTTATTTTGAGACGGAGTCTCACTCTGTCGCCCAGGCTGGAGTGCAGCGGCGCCATCTCGGCTCACTGCAAGCTCCGCCTCCCGGGTTCATGCCATTCTCCTGCCTCAGCCTCCTGAGTAGCTGGGACTACAGCCCCCCCACTACCACACCCGGGTTTTTTTTTTTTTTTTAAGTAGAAACAGGGTTTCACCGTGTTAGCCAGGATGGTCGCGATCTCCTGACCTCATGATCTGCCCGCCTCGGCCTCCCAAAGTGTTGGGATTACAGGCGTGAGCCACTGTGCCTTGCCTGTCTTAATTTTTTCAATAGAGATGGGATCTCCCTATGTTGCCCAGGCTGGTCTCCAACTCCTGGGCTCAAGCGATCCTCCTGCCTCAGCCTCCCAAAGTGCTGGGATTAAAGCCGTGAGCCCCCGGCGCCAGGAGTGATTCCATCTGTTGATCTCTGCTGTGTTCTCCATGCTAAAGAGGGCCAGGCCCTTACCGGATGCCCCATAAATATATGGTGAATGAATGAAGAACAATATCAGAAGCTAACACTCAGACCTCGCCATGGGCCAGGACATAAAAGAGTTAATTTAGGACGGGCGCGGTGGCTCACGCCTGTAATCCCAGCACTTTGAGAGGCCGAGACAGGTGGATCACGAGGTCAGGAGATCAAGACCATCCTGGCTAACACTGTGAAACCCCGTCTCTACTAAAAATACAAAAAATTAGCTGGGCG